ATGATCGTTTAGCAACGCAGATTCGTGGCTTTGACGGAGATGGGTCGTGATTTTAATAGTGGGTGAAGAATATACAATATGCGACAACTATGATCACGCCGACCAATCAGGTATTAGATTTTGGGTACGCACATAAATTCTTTCTCGAATAAGCAATACACTTCGTGATACTAATCCTAACTTTAACAAACTTAAGAAATTTTTGTATGATTATGTAACAATAGAATTTTTGTGGTGCTACTAGATAAGATGAAGATGCTTATCTACTCCAGTATTGTTAACAAAATTTTTACTATTACATGATGTTCAACAAAATTCTTTAAATTTATTTATGTTAAGGTTAGGGCCTATTTTAGTGTTAGAATTAAGATTCTAATAGTAAAGTTGCCTAAACAAAATCTTTTTATAAATGTATAGGAGGTGGTTTCTTATATAGATTTTGAGATACAAATGATTTTTGACAAAACGAATATTTGTTTTAAATTTTTTTAATTGCATAATTTTGAGATTCATGATTGGTTTATTTTCATTAATCATCACATGATAGTAAAATTATATAAAAATTATAGAAATTTTGTTAGTAATCCTGAAGTAATTGAAGATGATTTGACTTATCTTACCCAGCATAGCAAGCTTTTATTTTAATCAGCTAATTTTGTAAACCATTTGATGACTTTATAAAATCTGATAAGCTAATATAAAATAAGCTTGAAGTAAAATAATTTTTAAAATTATTAGACAAAAGATATATTTATACTATAAATTTATATTTCAATCACAATTTTAACTTATAGTTTTTTATAGTTCATTGTCAAATGTGTATATGGTTAAACTTAATAAAAAAATATATTTAAACTTAAATACATATATAACCTTTAGTAATAAAATTACTTTCTAATCAGTATGTAGTTTAATAACAAGATAAAGAATAAATAGATAAATAAATTAAAAAGAGCTATTAACTATAAATAAAGATGAAACATGTACATAAAGAGTATAAACAATATAAAATCCAAAAACTATCTATAGAACATAGCATATAATTGTATGTATCTTATTTTTTTTTTTTTCAGTGTTAAGGTGAGGTCATTGCCTTGTATCTTTTATTAGATATTTGGTTGGAGTATTTGCCTTATATGGCTACATATCTATCTAAGAATACAAGCTTTGAACAATTATCCATAACCTAAACCTACTAGAGTATACTACATTCCCACCACGTATTGGGTTATACCTAGATTTGGTGTTCAGACTATTTCTAGTTACCCATCATATTCCCCCATATCTCACTATCAAACCTTGATTACTCCCAAATTGGTTCTTTCAGGGAATTAGTCCTTTTATAGCCTTCCAATTTGGTGTGCCTGTTATTCGGTACGTACTAGTACTAGTAGATAACGTTTCTTATGGGTGGCCTCTTATATATGTATCTCAAGCCAGGTGCCTGCTGCTGCCACCAGTCCTACATGAGAAGCATTGGTATTACATATTGGATCTATGGACTTATCTTGTGTTTGCACCACCCATTGTCGGTTTGCATCCCTTCATTTACATGAATGTCACAGATCTTCCCACTTACTCCCCCAGGTATACTGACCTTGTATCTTAAGCCAGGCCCCTGCTGCCATTGACGGTTTGCCTTTCCCAGGTCTTGACATTTTCTAAGTTGTATGATGCGGTTGTACAACTTCTACTCCCTTATATACTCCCTTATATGATGTTCAGCGGGACCTTGATTCGTGAGGACCCCTGAAGTTGCACAGCAACTGCAAGGCTACACACTTCCAGCCATTGGCTTTTATAATTTGCTTTAATAACCTATCTTGTTAAAGACTGTCCTAACACTATGAAATTACTTAAGTGGCAAGCTAAATTACTTCCAGCTATTTCTAGTTGATGTAGCATTCGTGCTGGTATATCCTAGCTTTTTTCATCTTAGACTTCCATACAGGTGTAACCAGAGCCCCGATTTGGTGCATTTAGATGTACAGGGGTAGGTTACATTTTTTATGCTGAATTATACATGCCGACGAAATTATTTTAGGTTTCAGGGTATGAAATTAAAATTTGAAGACGAAATTGTTTTTGACTTATTTTACTTAAAAGATGAAATTTTTTGACACTTTTTTTGAAGAGACGAAATTATAAGGAACATAACTAGCTAAATTAGATTTGCTATTACATATCAAAAATTTTAAATTGCTCTAATGGAGATGAAATAGGGGTTTTTGAAAACCTATTTCGGTGGCATGTATATGCTGAATAGCCTTCTATAGTCATTCCACCGATGTCAGAGGTGCTTCCAATTCCAGTTAAGGCATGATCCTTTATCACAGCCCATAGTTGCGTATCTCCACTTCACTCATTACTCCAGTTTTAGTAGTATTAAACCGCCCTTCCAAGCAAGTATCCAACACCATACCATATTAGGACTTATCCGCACAATCTGTTGATCATCCTTCCAAGCAAATGCTTCACAAGTTGGGTGCAGGAATGTTGGTATTGCCGAATATAGAGGTGATAGGATGTTGGTGTTGCCTTTTAGTCACCCCAACCAAGAACTTATAGTGCAATCTTCTACTGCCTAGACCTTCTGTGACGCCGCTGTCACATGTAGTACCAATACTCTGCAACCTGGTCTCCTTTTGAGAACTCCTTATTCTAGTCTTGTACTGCACTTGGGCTTTTCACAGGGCTTCGCATTTGATTTGGCTCCATTGGTTATAGTAACAAATTCGAAAATTTGCTACCAGCCTGACTCAAACCATTGATCTTGTCTGTGGGGTTTAGAAGCTTAACCAATAAGCTACGGGACCCAAACCCTTTGTATGTATCTTATATATACTCTAAATCTAATATATTGTAGCTTTTAAAAATTTGGTCAAATAATTTATATTCAAAAAAAAATATTAAAAAACTATTATAAGTATTATTGCTTCAATTATTATATTCAAGTTTTTTTTAATAAACCTTTAATACTTATTAACTATAATAGAAATTATCTTGTTAATTGCTAAATTACTTTAACTTATAAGACAAAAGTATACCTCATCATTAATTTATAAATTATTTTTTCATTCTTCAGATTATTTTTACTGTAGGTAAAATAAAAGGTGTAGCTGCACTATATTCACCTGTGGGACCCATAGATAACCAACTAGATAACCAAGTTTAGATAAGTTAGTAGGAGCACTTCAGTATAAAAGTAAATAGTTTAAAATATAAAAAATCGTTAATATTATACAACTAATCTTACCTAGTATTCAATATATAAAGAAATTATTTTACGATACTAGATTATTTTGCTAGTACATATTATGATTAATACCAATACTATTTTATAATAAAACAGGACAACCTTTAATCATTGATTACTTAAAAAAATTTTAATACTGTAGAGTCATTTTCAAGGCAAAAGCTCTAGTCTTTTTTAGATTTTTTTTAATAAGTATAACAAATTAAAAAATCAAATCACAATTAATGAAATAAATAAAAAATAAAAATAATATATTTATTTAATAATAATAATATTACATTATTATAAATAATTAAGAAAAAAAAACCTTAATAAAAGGAAAAATCTTAATTATCTATAATAATGTAAATATAAAATATAAATATTTATATAAAGTTAAAAATTGTTAAATATTTTAGATAATTATTCTTTGTAATTTTGGTTGTTGTTTACGAAATTTAAATTTTTTGTTAAAGATTGAGAATTATTTTCTTCAATATCTAATTTTTCATTACTTTTATCATTATCTAATTCTTCATTATCTAATTCTTTATTATCTAATTCTTGATCTTTATATTCATTATTTAATTCTTGATCCTCATATTCATTATTTAATTCTTGATCTTCATATTCATTATTACTATATTCTGTAATACTATTATTATTAATAATATTTTCAGAAATTTCAGTATATAATTCTTGTTCACTATTTTCAATATCTTCATCTTCTAAAAATCTATTTACTAAATTTATAGGATTGTAATTAGTATTTTTATCAGTTTGAAGTTTAATATTTTGATTAGTAATAGCTACTATATTTTCATCATTAAAAGTATTTAGTTGCATAATTTGTTCTACTTCAAAAGTAATGTTTCTGTTCATTTCATCCCATATATTAAAATCATCATCATTATAATCTAAAATTTCATCATCATCATCCTCATCATTATTATTTTCATCATCATCAGCTTCATTTAAAATAATTTCAAATTCTTTAATAAGTTTTTCTAAATCATCTTGTGTTTTAGCTGGTCCAAAATTAGTTAAAAATTTTTTTGAATTAGAAACATAATAACAATATAGTTTCATCATATTTTCAAGTTTTTCTAATCCAATATTTTGTCTATTTTTATTATAGAACCAGCCTAATGTTGAGAATATACGTTCACAACTAGCCGAATGAGGTGTAATAGCTAAAATTTTAAGTGCTAATTGTTGAAGAATATGAATATTATTGTCATCATCAATATCACATGTTAACCACCAATTAATTGGATTACCACAAAGATTGTTATAAGATAAATCATATGGAGATAAATTTAATTGATAATTGCGTAATTATTCTAAAAGAATAGTACAGAACCTTTCATCTCCTCCTAAATTTTGCCAAATAATTGCTGCTGATTCTGCAATTTTACGAAATTGATTTTTTTTAATTCCTTTTTCTAATATAAATAAAATAAATAAATTAATAATATTTAAAAATAAATTAATTAAAATTTTATTAAATTTACCTTTATAAAATAGATGTAAAAAATATGCTAATAAATATTCATTACATTCAAATTCTAACCATCTTTTATTATATATATTAATACAATAATTATAAAAATTGTAATAATATTGTTGAGAAATATTTTTAATTGAAACAGCAAGCTTTACTAAATAAAAATAACAATCAGCAAGACTACTTATATCAGCTTCAAGAATACAAATTGCTTCTTTAATAGGTTCTAAAATTTCATTAAGCTTTTTAAGATCATCAAAAAATATACGACCACAAAGAATATTTTTAATTGAATTATTTGTTGCAAATATATTTTCATTTTGTACAATAATCTAATAAAAATTAAAATTTTATAAATAATATGTTATTTTTATAAAATTTACTTATTGAATATAAATAGTAATTTTTATTTTTATATATAGTCAGACCTCTCTATAGTCACTTTCTCTGTAGTTATATTTGCTTATAATTATAAAAATTTTTAAGCCAATTTATATAGCACTTATAAAATTTAACCTCTCTATAAGCATAAATTTGTTATAAGAACCAAATTCTTAAAACCAAGAGTATAATTATAAAGAAGTCTGACATAATATAAAACTAATTTATACTTACTAATTGAAAACATGGTTGAAGTCTAATAATAGAAAATACAGTTTCATACATAGATGTCCATCTTGTTTTGCAGTATTTTTTTAAGCCACCTCCACTAATATTCATTTGTTTAATTTGATAATCAAGAACTGAATTTGGAATATGTGAATTATTAAAAAATTTAACAATTTTGTTACATTTTTTAATTAGTGATTGGCAAAATTTATATGCAAGTATATCTTTAGAAATTAAATTGATACAATGAGCAATACATTTAAGATTTAAAATATGAGGATTTGATTGAACAATAATATTTTTTGCCAATTTAACATTTGAACCACTATTAGTAACAATAGCAGCAAATTTTTTAGGTCCTATTTCAGAAATAATTTTGTTAATTTGTTCTGCTAAAAATTGTCCAGTATGACTATTTGATGAAAAATCCAATAATTTATATAAATATTTTTTTCTATCAGGTGTAAGTAATACAAAATTCCATATTGACTTTTTATTAGGACTAGTCCACCCATCTAAAGCTTAATTAAATATATAAATTAATTAATTTATATTTAATTATTTAATAATAGAATAAATAGTAATGCTTCTATTACACTAAATCAAACTAAACTTTTAAATTTAATTTGATTTTTAATTAAGTTTTAGTTTATATTAGTTTAAAATATACAAACTAGTTTGAGTTCAAATATATATATATATATTTATACTAAACAATTTTGCTTTATATATAAAATTAGAATTAAGTAGTAAAATTTTAAGAATATAAAATTTTATATAATTATATTAATAAAATTTTATAAAATTTTATAATTTTTAGAATTTATTAATTAATTCTAAATTTATATATTAAGTAAACTTGTTTAGTACAAAAATATATATAGTTGAACCTTTCTACTGTTACCTTCTCTATAGTTACAAAACTAATATAATTACAAATTTATTGTTACTAATTATTTATAACTATATAAATAATACTTCTCTTTATATTCACAGTATTTCATATCTCAAATGTGTAATTATAGAAGGTTTAACTGTATATTTAAACTTAAACTAGTTTGTAAACTTCAAATTGAACTTAAACTCTGAATTAAACTTAATAAAACTGAATCTAGAAGCTTTAATAAATAATAATAATTAATATTATATATATATTTATTAAAATAGTTATCTAATATTAAATTTTTAGCATTTTCTAATTGTTGATCAAGTTTTTGATTAATAAAAGCAATTTCTTGATTTAGTAAATTTTCAGATAATACTTTTCTTGATGGAGGTAAATATGCTGGACGTAATTCTTTTAAAAGCTCAATCATAAAAGGGTTATCTATAACTTTAAAAGGAATACCACACATTATGAATGCAATAATTAAAGCCTTGTTAATTTTTTCTTTTCTTTCTTCAGTTAATATTGTACTTTCATAAAATGGTGAAAGTAATTATTGTTGTAAAGATGAACTAGAAGAAGAAGTACTAGTTTTTTGTCGTTTATTGCTACTAGTTCTTGATGTGATTAAATTTAAATAATAACATTTAATATCTTTAGTTGCACTAGGACAATGGTTGGCAATATGAGATTCAATTTCTCTGGGTTTTCCAATGCTCCAAAATTTTTCACATTTGCATGTAGCTGAATAATGTCCTGATGATTTTTTTTCACCTTTTGTAACATAAGTCCATATATTTGAAGGTGGTCGACCAGATAATGTACTTGTTTCAGAACTATAAACTTGTGTATCTTCAGAA